TTGTCAATTCAACTATAATTGTTCCTCTGTTGTAAACTCTATGGCTGTTTATGATAACAACAGACAAAAACAAAAGAACATCAGAGCAAGAAACCAACAAACCAAGCAAATGATAACATAAAAGCTAATGAAGCAACTAAGCAAGAGAGAACAACAAAAACCGAAAAAAGCCCTGAACCAACTAACCTATTATTAAATTACCATAATGAAAAATATAAGAAAGTTCAAACATTAAAACCAACTAACCTATTACCAAACTGATTCTCTTTTCTCTTGCCAAATACCCAAAAATGATATTGAAACATAAATGACCAACAAAACTACCAATTACAACAAAGAGATGTAAAAGAGGATTCTTACCTCTAAGTTGTAAATAGCCTTGGCTTCATCAATCGTTAAACCAAAAAGAAGAAAGAAAGTTAAAATCTCATCAGAAGTGGTTGCAGAAATCAAAATCGAAATAGAAATYAAAATCKAAATAGAAATCAATATCGTTTTTAAGAGCATACCTCCAAATTCTAGGGTTTTGAAGAACCTGTGAAATTAAATCAACAGGGAGGAGGGAGCTATGTGTATCAATGAGGTTGTGATACATCAAATGYCTTTGATACRTGAAATCGGAGCTCYGATCGAGGTGATACATTCACACCACCATTGTTATGTCAAACGAGGTCTGTGAAGAAGAAAGACCTTTTCTTTCTAACCCAAAATGTTTTTGGTTTTGGTGGTCGCAGAGATATACATAGAAAAAGAAGAAAGCTGGTCTTGGTGGTCGCAGAGATAGGAAATAGAAGAATAAGAAACCGGAAGAAGAAACCGGAAGAAGAAACCAGTCCAAAATGGGTAAGTTTTGGTGTTGTAGAAACATTGCATAAACAACTTGTACATTATGCATAATAGTTTGTAATTAAGAGTTTTTTGAATTTGTTGCATAAAATCATTGTAACTTATGCTTAGTAACTTGTATTTAAGACTTTGTCTTAAATGGTTATATATGTAGTATAGATATATATATATATATATATATATATTAAAAAAGTATTCGAGCAATGCAGCGAGACACATCTCGATTTTAATATTTTATTTTATTATTTGTCTCTGTCGATGTTATAATACGATTTCATGTGTTTTTAAAAAAGTAATAATGATTTTATTTTTGAATAAAATATAAATTTGAAGATATCATAAAAATTTGAAAAAAAATATATCAATTGTTAATATCAAATCAACTATTTAAAAGTTCTTATTTTTTATGTAGTTTATTTAATTTATTTTTTTATTATAATTTAATTTAAGTTTAATAACGAAATAATTTATTTTTGGTTTAATAATATAACATTTTATGAAGATAATAATTAAGTATTCTGTTAGAACTCAATGATTATCCTAATTATATTTTAGATTTTTTATATTTAAAATGAGATGTTTATCCTATATTTGATTATGTTTATCTGCAGTTAGTTACACGAATTCAGATATAAAGCTTTAATAAGTTGTATTTACGCACAATTACTTGCAATCTTGAGTTTTAAGTAATATGCATTAATAAACAGTATTTTATGCATAAAAAATGGTTTTTAAAAGTTTTTATCAAATGCTTTATAATATAGTATAGATATATATAACAAAATAGTTATAAATCTAGGGAAAAAAACAAACAAGTTGATCCTTAGACCGGTCCCTAAACAAAGAGCCAACCGTTCTTTAACCACGCTTGGTCCCAACCGAGCTTAGACTCATCCCCAAGCTAGACTTTGAGACAAAACACTCAAATTAACATAGGGACAATCAATACAACCGGATATCAATAGACTTCGTTTTTTTGGACCGATCTATGGTTAGGTTTGAGACCGGTGTCAGGCCTAATTCTGTTTATGCACCTGTAATTTGAACTGGTGAATGACAATTTACATTTATTATTAACAAACTGGAAAAATATAAATGACGATGAAGTAGAAAAAGAGAAGAGTAAACTACGAATTTGCTCCATGTGTTTTGTCGATTATATTACTTTTCGTCCCTGTGGTTTCGGAAATATAACATGAGTAGATGGCCATCATGGTTCGCAAAAGTGTCATAATTTGATTCCTACCTGTAATGACCGTCAAAAGAACTAGTTAAGTGAGTGGCATTTTAGACTTTTTACACTTATATGTCATTTTTCTCTAAAAATAAATTTTAATGATATATATTAATTATATAATGTAATATATATTTATATGTAATACATATAATGTGAAGGGTTCAAATGAGAACACCTATGTTTGACAAGAATATGAGAACACTTATGGGCCTTCAAGTTAATTACACATGATAAAAATTAGAATAAACGAAAATAAATTAGCATTTATCCGTAATTTTTATTATCTTATATTTATCCTTATCTCTTGTCGATGCATCTCTTGACGATAATGTTGTGATAAAGTTATGATAACGCTGTGATAATCGAAACCAATCATGATCACGTCTACAATCATCACTCTGCCTATTCACCATGTGATTTTATTGTGATAATAATATAATAATGACTTGATATTAATGAGTATATTATTTGTATGTAATTTTAGGGATAATGATGTCACCATGAAACCATTGACGATTTTACAATATATTAATCAAATTAATTCTCATTTTCTTAAATCTCGTATATATGTGATAATGAATATTGACGTTCTTCATTTGTCGCTTGAAATGCAGCCAAACGCAAAAAATCCAACAAACCATTATGAAAAAGTGATGATTAAATGTATATTGGTTCATATGTGAACTTGTAAAATCCTAACATTGATTCACATGTGAATTTTAACATAGCTTCACATGTGAATCTTGATATAGTTTCACAATACATTGTATGTGAATCAATTTACAACATATAACCGCAACCTAAGATTCAATCTTTAAAATTGTTTCTTACATGATCTTAAACTAAAATTAATGCAATTCTGGTTTTTTTTATAATTTATTTAACTAAAATATTATTTATATTTTAGATGATAAAAGAAAATGAGTAATCCAATTTTTATTTAAAAGAAAAATAGGGTAAAGTTTTGAAAAAGAGTGGATTATTTATTTTGTAGGTTAGATCAGCGATTTAGGGGTCGTTTACTACTTACATGGATAATTGTTTTATCAAATCATGTTACCTCACCTAATGAATATGGTAAGAGCCAAAAATCTTACCTGGTAAGAACGAGACAAATACCATGAATCTTATCCGGTAAGTGAGGGCAACGACTCTTACCACGGTAAGTGCTTACGAGGTAAATTGTTGCATACGATGCCGTTTTTGTGGACTAAAATCTTACCTGGTACATAAATAATAGAGTTAAATTTTATCGATAAGCACTTACCGGGTAAGTGTTTGGTAAACGGCCCCTTAGTTTAACACAAGTTTCAAAATGCTCCCCCTTAACTTTCTTAGGTTCCTTAATTTATTCACTATTTGTCTCCATTTACATATATTGCTTTAGGATCTTGACAATTGAAAAAGAAAATCTCATCACGAACCAAGGTTATGAACCAGCCTCTGAATCACGTGAATCTCATATGTTTCAGGTGTTAGATTTGCAATCGGGTTTTGGTTTGTGATTATAGATTAGGGTTTCAGATAACTACAATCGAGATTTAAGTTTGATTTTGGATTTTGATTTTGAGGAATGAATTGAGATTTTGGTTTGATTTTGAGTATTTTTAGTGTGTGAGAGATCTAAGTGTTGGTCGGAGAAGATGACCAGAAGGGGGCTCACGAGCTCACGGTCAGGAAGGTTTAAGATAGGTGGTTCACAGCCTAGAAGGTTGGGTAGACATATGGCATGATTTAAGTGGATAGATTGAAAGGACTTTTATTTTATTTCTTTAAAAAAAAATAAGATAAGAACTTAAAAAGACAAAAATACCCCTCACTTAACGGCTAAAAATTAACGATCTTTAGAAAGAAGAACTTAATCTGAACACTTTCAGAAACTACAACAACCATCTTGTATTTTCAAAACTGCAACGACAAAAAGTGTTGCAAAAACCAACAAACCACATTAACTAAATTCATAGTTACTCAATAAAGAATAATTTTGGGGTTGTTTGTTTACCTCTTAACAATTCAATTAAGAGGCAACATCTGAATCGTTAAGAGGTAAACCTTGTTTGGCAAAAAAAAAGTCTGTCTCTTAATGGTTTTAAAACCCTCTGAATGATTTTGTATCATGAGTCTCTCTTAATCATTCAGCACCCTAATTCATTGTAAACAATTATATTTCATTTTTCACTAATATCATGATAGCTTCTTAATCATTCTGACCACTTAATCGTTCTGTCTTAAACCATTCAGTAACTGTCAAACAGCCCTAAAGTCAACGAAGGAAATAAAACTAAAAAATCATCAATTCAAATATCAAATCTAACCTAACCATATCTGAACACTTATACTTTATCCAATAAAAGTTGTATCTTCTTAAATTCTTGAGGGGCAAGATAAGGATTTGGTGCTTTGGAATAAAGTATTTGTTTCTTTCTTGTAGCCTTAATTGTGATTAAGTAGCATCAGGTGCCATAATTAAAATTCTCAACCCACCCCTACCCCTACCCCTAC